ATTAAACGTGGGCCCACTGATGACTCTCAGATTTAGGCCTCAGGCTCCTTTGCTGTGTCTTTAAGCTCAGTAGCACTCTCATGTCTTCGATGCTGTGGGATTTGCTGAACTCAGACGGTTGGGGTCGTAGCTCCCCCATGCTCCAGGTCCCCCCCGTACCCGTTCACTGAGCTCAGAACGGCTCTGCACCGTCGGTGCTGCTGTCTCTCTTTCAGCGGTCAGAGAGCATTAGGCCTGCATTGAACGGTCCTATGGAGAGGCCAAACGGCGAGCAGGAGGACGGAGAAGCTTCCACCCAGGTAAGGCCTGCATACTAGAGAGAGCGCGTCCGGGATGGGGAGCAGCGGGGGACCCGGCGGGGGTCTGCACCCTGCCTCTGACGTTTGTACGGCTGAGGGCGAGAGTAGGGAGGAGGCCGTATGCCAGCGTCGTCTCAGTGTCCAAGGGTAACAGACCTTGCTGTGCCTGGGCGTGGCCTGCAGCCCCCTCCCTGGGGACTGGCCTCAGGACCTGGAGGAGAAAAGAGTCATGCTCTGCCGGGCTGGCCCTGCCGCTGTGGACTTGAGTGGCGGCGCTAGGCAGGGCGGCGTGAGGCTGGGCCCAGGACCCGGGGTGACTGCGCTGGGCTCCGCTCTCTAGGGCCGAAATCCTCAGCTTATTCTCCCCCCACGCCTCGCTTGTCCACCTCAGCATTTGCAGGGACTTCATGCATTTCACAAAAACGAGATCCCTGGGGTGGGGGGAAGTGTGGTTCTCCTGGGAACCAGGTTTGCCTAGATAGCCACGCTGGGTGACCCGGGGTAGCTGCGTGCACCCGGAGGAAGCTCCCGGGTCTGGCTTCCAGGGCAGAGGTGCCTCAGCCCCACCCCATGCTCTGCCCCACGCAGCCTGGGGTTCCGGTTCGTGTCCCTTTTCTGGAATTCCCATTTGCTTATTCAATTACCGTGCTTTGCAGAAGTTTTCTTAAGAGACTGAAGAAGCCCCAGGCAGCCCTATTTTTGTGTTTCCTTGTTGGTGTGACACGTGGGGCTTCCCACACAGGAGCTGGGGCCTGAGGATGGCGCCGCCGTCTCTGCCAGCGTTGGTCAGGGCTCTGCTGGAAGCAGCTGCTTTCACTGACGAGTGACATGCAGGCTGCTTTCACCTCACGTGCCTTTCCCTGCAAATAGGAAACAGTAAAAACTCCTAAGAATTCTTCAGATCTGTTGCTGAGTTAAAATTTTCGTATCCAAATCTGTAATTGGGTCGTGCAGCATTTGTAAAATGGCATCTGGCTTCTGAAGAAGGGGCTCATTGTGTTTCCAGTTTTCGTAGCTGGCTTAGCTCAGATTTGGATACTAGGCTGGCTTGGGGGCCTTTTGGGTACAGCACGTTCGATTTCTGTCTTGATTCCCCATCTCTATTTTTAGAGTGAGCATGAAGGTTTCTGAATTTTTTTTAACATAGTGGAAGGAAAGCACTTGCTTCACAAAGAAGCTTGCTATATAACACTTTTGGCCGTTCTCAGGAAATAAAAAGTTCTTGGATAACAGTTAATAAACAGTTTATCCCAGTCATCAGATCAGATCTGCCCGTTGCTTAATTCGGGGTCTCCCCTCTGCCCAAGCTCAGGCCTACATGAATCAGGCTTTGAGGGTGGCCTTCCATTCCCTTCCTTCCACCTCCACCTCCACCTCCACCTCCACTCACCAGCTCTTCTTTCTAACTTCCTCTAGGGTCGGACTCAGGGTTAAGATGGGCCATGTGACCCCAGCGTGTGTGTGTGTGTGTGTGTGTGTGTGCGCATGTGCACAGCTGTATATATATGTGTTACAGCTGTTATTGTAGAGCTCTCCCTGTCCTGTCTAGCGCCAGAAGCCTCGACTATACTTAGTTTGAGCTTGGGCTGGCTTTTTATGACCACCCCTTCCTTCATGAGGCTCCCTTCACCCCTCCCAGTGGTCCTCTTGGGCAAAGTCAATTTCAACAGCCTCAGGCTGGTTCTCCCGCAGGGGGGGGGGACCTATGTCCCCTCGCCCAGGACACACACAGCAGTGCCTTACAGTCAGTGGAAGTTGAACTGGCTCCCAGCGAAGCGTTTTTAAAATCTGCTACAAGCCAGTTTCTTCCTCTTAGATTTCTCAGGTGTGTGTTAGTCACCACCAGTCTGTGTGTCCCCCAAACTCTAGGGCACATGAGTCAGGCCACATGGTTCTCTTTTTTTAAATTATTATTATTTTTTAAATTTTTTGGCTATTGGGTGTTCGTTGCTGAGCGCGGGCGTTCTCTAGTTGCGGCGAGTGGAGGCTACTCTTCGTTGTGGTGCACGGGTTTCTCATTGCGGTGGCTTCTCTTGTTGCGGAGCATGGGCTCTAGGCACGCAGGCTTCAGTAGTTGTGGCGCGCAGGCTCAGTAGTTGTGGTGCACGGGCTTAGTTGTTCTGTGACATGTGGGATCTTAGTTCCCAGACCAGGACTCGAATCCATGTCCCCTGCATTGGCAGGCGGATTCTTAACCACTGCGCCACCAGGAAAGTCCCCACATGGTTCTCTTGAAGTCCCTCACTTGCTTGCCTGAGGGCAAGGAGAGGTGGCGAGGGTGGGGAGAGAAAAGCGCACACACCAGGAACTCTTAAAAATAGCCTCTCAGCCTCTTCCTCCTCAACTCTGCTGTCGCCTGGAGGTGGGTGCTGGACTGACGCTGGCCAGCCTGGGTCTGGGCCTGAGTCTGGGAGCGTGAGCAGTAGATGGCCAGGCAGCTGCCTGAGCCTTTGGGGGCTCCTGGGCATCGTGTTGGCCTTCACAGGTGCAGCCAGGACAGAGACAGTCCCATTATTATATCCTGCTACGCGAGGAACCACATGATATTATATCGGTTTTAACAAAGATACTTAGAATTTACTTTTTTTTTTTTTTTTTTTGCGGTACGCGGGCCTCTCACTGTTGTGGCCTCTCCCGTTGTGGAGCACAGGCTCCGGAAGCGCAGGCTCAGCAGCCATGGCTCACGGGCCCAGCCGCTCCGCGGCATGTGGGATCCTCCCGGAGCGGGGCACGAACCCGCGTCCCCTGCATCGGCAGGCGGACTCTCAAACACTGCACCACCAGGGAAGCCCAGAATTTACCATTTTTTATCTGCCTAACTGTTCTCAGAGTCAAGTGAGGGTATAAAATTAGTGCAGTATATGTGATAAGACTTGTTTAAATTTTAGAGCAATAAGTAGCATTGAACAGAAAATTCCCAGAATGCAAATAAGCAGTTAACTTTGTTATCTTCTGAGAGTACAGTTTCGAGGTGCTTCTGTTTTCATAATGGTAATCATTCACTTATTCCGTAATGTTGAACATGCCATGTGAGTCAGGTCCTGCCCTTCAGGAGCCCATGTCTGCCGTTACACATGTGCCCGCGGTTCCCTGCCGGGCAGCCCGCCTCCTTTGGGGTCCAGAAGAGCATTATTTGGGGCACCGGTCAGATGGGGAATCTGCCTGGCAGGGCAGCCCGTGCTCATGGTGGTCCCTTGCTTCCTGCGTGTCCAGACCGAGCGGGTGCCGCTGGACCTCAGTCCTCGGCTGGAGGAGGCACTGGACTTTGGCGAGCTGGAAGCGGAGCCCAGTGAAGGGGAGGACTTTGAGGCCCGGGGGAGCCGCTTCTCCAAGTCCGCTGACGAGAGACAGCGCATGCTGGTGCAGCGCAAGGATGACCTCCTGCAGCAGGCGCGGAGGTGAGCGGGTTCCACAGCCCCCGCCAGGCCTGAAGGCCCTTGTCATGGATGCCAACGCTGAAAACCTATCACCTGTCAGCTGAAACTTCAGGTTTCAAACCTCTGTTGAAAAACCTGAGGATCTGGTAATACTGGGCCCAGGTAGTAACCTCTGGCTGGTGCTGCTGGCGTCTCCTTGTGGACGCTCTCCGCCACACTTACACGGTTAGCACTTCTGTGCCAGTGTGTTCTAGACCCTTTATGTTAATTACTCTAATTCCCTTAACTCTAAGAGGGAGCATGGTAATTACACCCATTAGACAGACTTAAAGCTGAAGAAACTGAGGCCTAGAGAGGCTAACACTGGCCTGATGTCCAGCTCTTGAGTCCTCCGTCTTGGCCACTCTGCGTGCAGCCGGCCTCGAAGTGCCGACCCCCAGCCCCAGGCGGGAGCCGCCGGAGCGGGACTGTTCTGTCGCTGCGCAGGTGCTCATTACTTAAACTCTCGGGGACGGGGCCGGTGTTCTGTTCCCGTGGGTGGGTTCCGTGCCCAGCACAGGCCTTGTGAGTGGGGACTTCGCACTGTGTGTGTAAGTGGAGCGGCCGCCTGATGCGGAGAACTTCTGCCCCTCTGTTCAGGGACAGGTGTCTTTTTCACGGGGTGGTGCTGAGTGACAGCTTCATGACGGTGCCGGGAAAGTGGGGGAATTAAAGAAGCACATTGTATGTTTCTCTGTGTGTGCATGTTCCAGAGCTTCCCTGATTCCTCATTCAAGTCCTTTGTTTTTTGTAGGCGTTTCTTGAACAGAAGTTCTGAAGATGACTCAGCCTCGGACAGCTGCCTCCCCTCGGAAGGCACGACCTCTGACCCCATGACCCTGCGTCGAAGGATGCTGGCTGCTGCCGCGGAGCGGAGACTTCAGAAGCAGCAGAGCTCCTAGCGCCTCCTCCCGAGCCGAAGAGGCCTGTCCCCAGCTCTGCCTGCTGAGTGAAGGAGTGGGCTCAACTGCATTGCGCTGTGTAAAGCACGTGGTCTTAATAGTGTGTGGACAGCTGACAGATTTAATCCTTTTTTGTAATACTTTCTATGTGACATTTCTCTTCCCTTTAGAAACACTGCACATTTTAACTCTAAGCATGATCTCTTGTGCGTTGACTGGACTTCGTAGGGGTGGGGGAGGATCAAGAGGAAGTGGGCAGCCAGAGACCCTGAAGGGGGCCGCTTCCATGACAGCTTTATGCAGAAGTCATAACAAATGCTGGTGTCTTTAGCTCCAAATGTGGCAGGAAGTGGGCGTGGGGGGGTCGGGGGGGGGAATCGGGAGGCGCAGGGGGCGGGATCCATAAAAAGCGGTGTGGAGGTGTACAGCCTGAGCCTGACTCCACGCCACTGGGTAATTTATGTTGTCACACTGCTGTTCTTGGTGCAGAGGCATTCAGAATGTCACAGAGGCCAGACCTACGGGCTCCTGGACCCCTGGGCCGGCAGGGCATCTTGGAAGAACAGTGCTTGGTTTGATACCTGCAGCAGAGGGGAGGAAAGCCCAGGGACGTAGCGTGAGGAGGTGATCCATCGTGTCCCAGTACATCCGGGACTAGCTTTCTGAGCCCCCTATCCAAAGCTGGCTTTATTTCCGTTAACAATGGTGCTCCCGCATCTCACGAGTACACGCTGTGTCCTCTCCTCTCTGCATTTCATTATCCCCCCCACACCCCCAGACACGGGGAAAGGGTTGAGCAGCAAGCCTTGGTTCATGAACGTTTTAATTCCTTGTTAAAGTAAATTAGGCAATGCCAAAGGCTGTGGGTTTGGTCCTTGGAAAAAACGTGGGCCTTAAAGATGGGAGAGTAAATTTTGGAGGGCTTTATTGAAGAAATAAAAGACATCTTTTGTATTTTTCTTCCCCGGAGCCCTTCATTTTTGTAACTGTGTTCCTGTTGGTTTAATTAAACATAGAAAGGTAAGATGTTGAGTCCACCTGCCTTGGAGCAGACCCAGGTCTGAACTTTTTCAAATCCTTGACACATTTAACTTGAAGGATTTGAAACACACAATCATAGGTTACCTAGTTCAGTTTTATGTCCTACTGGATTGAGTTTTTTTTTTAATGTTTGAAAGCATAGTTTTATGGTAGTCCTTCTGGGAAGAATCCAGTATTATCTAAAATTATTGGCAAAGTTAAATGTATTTTACGTAACAAAGTTTTTAGAATGTTGAGAAGTAACTGAAAATAGAGTGATGTTTAGGCTGAGGTAATTTATTTCAATACATCTTTCAAAAGCCTTATCTTGAAACGCTGTTAGTAAATTTCTGTGATTATTTTTCTTTTTAAATTGGTTTTGCTGAGAGCATAGCTATTTGTTTTTATTGTAAAACAATAATAATGATAATAAAAAGCAAACTCTCCTAGTGTGTTGTGTGTGGCTGGGAGGTAAGGCAGTTTTTTCCGGAGGTGCGGAGATTAGAGCGCGTTTTGATTTTGTGTGTTCCGTTCTGGTTGGAGGGTTTTTTCATCCTTATAATTATATATGTGTGCATGTTGTGCACATTTAAAGATGATACCAATTCCATGTGTTCTTATGTTTCAGATGTGTGAAAAGAGAAAATGTTTTGGAGTCAATTTTAGAGGGTCCTGAGACATTGGAATACAGCAATATGACAGTGATCAAAGTGGAGCCATGCCTTTAAAATGACCCCAAAAGAGAAGTCCTAAATTCACCCATAGATTTTACACCTGGATAGTAAAGGGTTCTGGGCACTAATTGTATTGTCTCTTGAGTTTGGTCACTTCTTGAGGGCATCTGCGACAGATGCCAAGGGCAAGGGCAGGAGGCTAGACCAGTGTCCCGTTCCATCAGGTGGTCCCCATCCCATGGCCCCTTCACTGTGCTGGCCGTCTCCAGGAAGGGAGCCTGTCCTCGTGCTCCGCCACGTAGCCCAAAGCGGAGGCCAGGCTGCTGGTTCACGTTTGTAAACTGAGTGTTTGGGTGCTCTGTGAATGGTGGTGGAGGTGCCCTTGCCCTCTCTGGGCTCTTTTAGAAGTGCTCTCCCTCACTCCCTCCATTTTCTTTTGGCTCTGCTGACATCTTGGGTTCTTGCTTTGTTTTTTTTTCTCCCCCTAATTTTGAGGCTTTTATGTACTGTAGAGATCGATGGTCCTTGTGGATGTATTTCTTGTGTTGATATAAATCCAGGGTGCCCAGGTGGCCACTTGGACCTGGTTTCCCACTTGAGCTGTGCAGACAATATGCTTTTTTATCTTTAGCCGGCAGACGTGGTCCTCTCTGGGTGCGCCTTTCCCCACTACGGGGAGGAAGCGGAGAGCTCTGTGGAGCAGGGCCTCACCTGCAGGAGGAGCCGTGGCCCTGCCGCCAAGCTGGTCAGGGAACAACGCCTGCCTGCCCTGAAGGCCCTCCGTCACCTGAATGTCTCCATCTCTCGGTGCCCCTGACTGCACCTTAGACTCGCTTGTGGAGTCCCTAGAGACTATGATGCGTAGGCTGTGCTGCCACGTGTCTCATCTAATTGAATTGGTCTTTCCCTGCACCCTTTCCCAAGAAAATGCTTCTGGATCCCATTTTAAGGAAGATAAGGCAAAGAAGCTTCCGTTGTTTTTATCTACAAAATTCATATGCAAGAACTGTTATTCTATGGCTCATTTTTTTTTAAGAGAAGTTCAGGTACGCCATATGTAGAAGTCACGGCATCCTGCAGCCTTTCGTCTGCATCCCCCCAGACCAGTGTCCTGAAGTCAAGCTGTGGCCAGGAGCGCAGGCTTCCCATCAACAGAGATGGCTGTGAGCCTCCCTCTGCAGATAAGTTGGGGCGAGGGGAGCTGGTGGGAGCAGTGCTGGGGGAGGGGTGGGCCTGGCTGGCTCACCAGCAGGCTTGTCCTGGCTGAGGAGCTCCCGGATCTGTTCTTTGTTAACAGGAGGGGACTAGCCTCTTGTTACGCCACGGTCTCTGCAGCAGTATCAACCCCCACTTTCCATCCTCACTAGATTCAAAAGGCCACTGGAATTGCCAAGGAGAGGACTTCCTGGGCTCTTGGTGTGCGGAGGATTACAATTAACTGCCCTTGCCCAGACCCCGCCATCTCCTAGGTGGAGCACTCGACTGCTTGGCTAGTAAGCGATCCATGGACATGATGCAAGGATTTTGATGAGCTGTGTTACCTCCAGGTCTCAGTCTCAACTGATGTGCAACTAACTGCAGTAGAAACCTGGCAACCCAGTGGAGAGGTAGTGAGACCTGCCACCTGGAGGAATTGAGAACCAGATTCCGTACACCAGGCTGTGCTCAGCTGCTCCGTGTGTGTTCAGCCTGCCGGGGACTTCTGGCATCCAGGTGCAACAGGAGAGGCTTTTAAAGCTGTCCAAGTGAGTACACGTGACCCCTTGGGTACAGAGGGCTGGGGCAATTTGGCCTCATTCTCGGGACCACCCATTCTGCTGTGGTGGAGCAACTGGGTACAGGATCCCGTATTAGCAGGAGATTTGGGATCACCTGCCCTCCCCCCCTTCCCCATGCTCCATTCCATCCTACCCTCGAAAACCAAACCAGCCGAGCATGAGGAGATGCCGGAGCTGGGAGGAAGAGGGACCTGCAGGCCCGAGAGACCCATTCCTCTGCCCGCCCTGCTCCCAGGTGGCTGCACCCAGCTGGCTCCCCTTGATGGCGGGTGGGGGTGGGGGTGCGGGGGATCCTTATCCGGCACCTACAGCCCTACCCACCAGCCTCCCAGCATCTGCGACCCAGTCAAATCCCTCCTTCCCTTTCCTGTCAGAATGAAGCCCGAGGGCGAGACTCAGCAATACAGACAAACATTCTCTTTATTGAGCTACACATGAATTTTCCATTAGTCAGAGAAGTAGACTGGCAGTGTGTAAGATATCACAGAAACCTCACCGATTGGGAATAGAAAGGCTTAGAAAGACCCGTGGGCTATTTTTTTTCCCAAGTTTTTTTTTTCTGCATTTTAAATATTTTGTGTTTTGTCTTTTTGCCTCTTTATCTGAAATGGCTGTGACTGGTCTTCAGCAAATATTAAGTCTTAAAAGTGAAACCGTGAAGGAGTTTGGATACTAGTCAAAGTAGAAATGACATTGGACTGATCATGAGAACTGTGGCTTTCTTGTAAACATTACATTCCATCTTTTTAATTTTTTTTGTGTTTTTTCCATCTTGTAGTATTTAAAAATTTTTGTTTTTATCTGCAGCACAAACATCCCCACATGAGAAAGAGCGAACACAGGTTACTGAAACAAAGGAAAAGGTGGAGGGGCGCACGCACACAAAGGGAGCATCCATCTGAGAGACGGAGAAGCAGAATGTCAGCGGGAAAAACCACAACCCGGTTCCCAAAGACTATGAAAGCTGATCTGGTATGTAATACATAGTGCTCATCAGGACAAAAATAAAACCAAAATCTAAAACTAAAAAAAAATGATAAAGGTACTCTGTAGAAAGGGAGCTGGGGGAAACTGTTTCCTATAGGGCTCTATTTATATATATATATATATATATATATATATGTATGTTCCATATTCTTTTGGGGCAGCTACTGGCCCGTGAGAGCTGTGCTTTTTCTATGCAAACCTGGAGTGAGCGTGTGGTTGGAGTGGCTCGGGCCTGGGCGGGGGGAGGGCTGTGGACGGTGAGGCCGCGTCTGGAAAGCGTGGCCTGAGCACACTCCCGGGAACCGGCGCCCCGGGTGCGGACAGGCGGCACCTCTGCAGGTAGGATGGGGTGGGCATGGGTGCAGCTGTGGGTGTTTATTTCAGAAAGAAAAAAAGATGGATGAGATGCTGAGTTTTCCTTTATCCTTTTCTTTTTTTTTTTTTTTTTAAGCTACAAAGCACATGGGAAATGTTCTTCTTTTCCTTTCAAATTCTAGATGTAAAGGCTCAACTAAAACCGGATTCTACAGCATTCTACAGAAATACACAGCCGTCAGTCACTCTGGGTTGTAGGTTAGACAGGGGCTTGATACAGAAAGGCTGTGTGTCTTACAAAGGCCAAAAGGTCATGCTACCAGGAGATCAACGTCAACAGCAAAGAGTCCGTGAAGCAGTCTGTAGAGAGAGAGACAAGGGGTCCAGTCTGACCATTTTCCTTGATTTAAAACACCAACCACCCAACCAACCAACCAACCAACCCTCCAACATGTTTAATAATGTTGAGGTGGGGCAAGATGGGGCAGCATCGCAGGGGGATCAGGAATCCAGGGGAAGCCTAGCCTGGGCCTCCTGGGAGGCCTCACCCCTCAGGACCCTGACCCAGCCAGGTCTGCAGATCTGCCCTCCCCTCAGCCACTCCTGCCCGTTCTCCACATCACTCCCCTTCTCTTGCCAGCCCTCTTGGAGGGGGAGCCCTTTTGGAGGGAGGAGCAGCTTCAGTTCTGCAGGTGACCTTGTGCTTTGCACGGCCCGCCCCCTCAGCTGCTTGCAGAAAGCAGCCAGAGTCTCCCTTTTCTCTGACTCTTGCCTTGTTAACATGAATAAAGAAAACTCAGGAGACAGAGAGTGGATTGGGCAGAGCAGTGACTCTTCTAAATTCTTGAAGTTAACCACCTCTACCACCCAAAAGAGAAGCATCCTTAATTTTTCTGTCGGGAGTATAGGGCAGGGAGACATTTGGGATGCTGGCCATTTTTTAAAGGGTTTTGGAATTCGCACAAGAGCAGGACAGAACTGACAGCACACAGCCTCAGCGTGTGGATGCAGAGGAAAAGGCTGGACTAAGGCCAGGCCTTTCCTTGCCCTCTCCCTGCTCACAGAAATGGGTCTCAGAGTGTAAAATCATGTGGCTGTTCTTAAAAGGATGGACTCCCAAATCAGGACGTGTGTGTGTGTGCGTGTGTGCGTGCGTGTGTGTGTGTGTGTGTGTGCGCGTGCATGTAAGTGCATGCTCAGGTGCTGTCCCAGGAAAACCTTAATGATCAATGGAATGTTGGTCAGTTCTGTCTGAAGCTCCTTCTAGTACAAACTAAAAAAAAACTTAATATATATTTGTCTGTCTATATATAAGGTTTGTTATGCCTTTTTGAAGTTAATTTACCAACTTGCATTTGTTTGTTAGTGGAGTGTGTATGTGTGCAAGCTTTTCTGTGAATGCTGGAATCATTACCAAATAGGTTGCTATACAGGACAAGAGGTCAGTACAAGCCGCAGCCCCGGAGGTTGTTGGCAATGATGATGTCAGTGACGGCGTCGAATACCACCTGGATATTATTCGTGTCTGTGGCACAAGTCATGTGACAATAAATTTCTTTGTTGGGTGAGCGGTTTTTGCTTTCAAATTGTGCTTGGATGTAGGCGGCGGCATCTTCATAGGTGTTGGGGCCTGTAACGAAACAGAGCAGAAGAGTTGGGGGGAGGCCCTGGTGAGAGGGGGGTGGGTGGGCTGGAGATGTGGGCCGTGACCTTCTCCAGGAGGCTGCCTGGGGCCCTTCTCCAAGGTGGAGTCGCATCTTACACTGGAAACCACATGCAGCTGAGCACTGGCCTGGCTTCTGACTTGCCCAGGTCTTTCCTTCTGTGTTCACACAGGGTCCCCCCAGGAGCCCTGGGCGGACAGCAGCCACAGGCTGTCCGTTTTGCTTTCTAGATGAGCACACTGACTGAGGCTGGCCAGTCCGCCATTCACAACACTCACCCCTGGTCTAAACCGGTCCTACTGCTTCTGATGCATGAGTTCCCTGCGGGGTGGTGGCCGCGGTGGGGGGGGGGGGGGGGGGGGCGCTGCGCCTACACTCCTTCCTGGATGCTTCCCCTTAATGAGAAGGGCTGGGACTGTCTCTAAGCCGTCCCCGTTATTGGGTGAGTGGCCAGGACAGGGGGCATTGGGAACCTCCAGGTGGGCCGTTTAAGGGGCTGGCAGTGTTGTAATGCCAACTGGAGCCCCGCTGCCCCCCGCCGCAATTCCTTGAGTGTTCCCTTGATCCTGGCCGGGGTCTGGTGGGGGTATCTGTGCATGATGTAAGGACAGTTTGCCCACCAGCTGTAACCCAAACCCTGTGGCTCTGTCCTGTAGTTTTCAATTATCATAAAACGTGGACCAACAGAGAACTGCCTAAAAGCCCATCCAAGTTAGGCTGCCCCATTTTCTGCAGTGCCCCTGGGAGCTGGCCAATATGGAAATGACACGGTCTTATGCTGAGGGGGTGGGCCATGCCCCCTCCCGGCCTGCGCCATCCTCCAGCCATCCTCCAGCCATCCTCCAAAGGCTGGGTGTGAGCCACAGTGGGGCTGGGGCTTGGGTGCCGGAAGGCGTCCGCAGCCAGATAAGTGTGCGGGGTCAGGGCTACTGGGTGGGTGGGGACAGGGCGGAGAGCAGCTCTGACAGCCCACGGGGCAGAGCCTCCTCCATGCCACCGTTGGCTGGCCACCAACACGGTGAAGCCATCAAGTTAGTGGCAGCTCGCAGACTAGACACAACCCCACAGTGGACTCCATCAAGGAGCTTCTTGCCCAGAGGGTGCTAAGACGGCACCGACAGAGGTGAAAAGCGCCCAGGAGTAACTCGGGACGTCCAGTTCCCGCCTTCTCAGCGTCTGCTCAGTCCGCGCCCTTACACGGCCTGGCGGTCCTGCAGAGCTCCCCGTGGACGTCCAGACAGCCACCTGCACGCCCCAGCCCCTCCAGCCTGTTCTGTCCCCACAAGCCTAGGTACCCCCAGGGGCCACCTCACTGGTGACCATTTGTCATCCAGCGTGTTCTCTGAACTCAAACTGGATCCCTCTGGAGGCCCTGAAGAATGCAAATGTTTCCCAATCTCAGACCGACTTTCCCTGGGTGCATCCGGCGCGCCATACAACATGACAGTGAGACTGACCGCTCCTTGGGCCACATCCCAAATCGGGCTCCAGTGAGGCCAGGTCCCTGGGGACAAGGAAGAGCCCTACGCTCAGGCCGGCCCCCTGAGGTGGCACTGGCCTGAGGGCCTGCTGGAGCTTGCAGACTTCCGAGCCCCATCCGGTCACCGCAACTTTATCTAAAGACCCGAATTGGTCCTGAAGGGCCTCTGCTGAGGCTGGGAGAGATGGCTGCCAAGGGGGCTAACGCCCGGCTCCACCCACAGGCAGGGCCCTCCCTGGCCTGTCCTGTGCCTGCATGGACTCGCTCCACCCCACCCGCAGAGGGCGCCTCCTCCACGGCCAATCCCCCTTGCTTGGTTTCCATCCTCTGGATGGTACGAGGGCAGTGATGGCACCTATGGTGCAGACCTGGCACTAGGCACCATTCTCTCCGTTCATTCCCCCACCTCCAGCCCCGCAAGCAGTGGGCATCATTATCTGCTGTGGTGCCCGGATGACAAACAAGGCACAGGCGATTAACTTTTCCCAAGTTGCAGAGTCTGGGTCCAGAAGCTGCTTTAGCCTGCCCGTCTGCCTGTCTGCCCGCCTGCCTGCACCATGCTCCTAACGCCTGTCAGCCCCGAGAGCCTGCCCTGTCTCCCTCTCTGCACCCTGGGGAGGGCAGGAAGCTGGCAGATTCACACAGTGGAGACAGGCTGCGCTCAGAACAAGCCAATGCGCCCTCCACACCCAAGGGTGAGGGCAGACTCCCCCCCTCCCCAGGAGTGGAGGAGGGCAGAGGGGCCAGCATCCATCTCTTCTGGAATCTGGCTGGGTTTGGGGACCCATGTCACCCTGGGAGCTGAGCCTAAGCCCTGATCTTTCACTGGGGCTGTCAGGGAGTGGGTTCCAGACTGAGCCCACCTGTGACACATTCTCTACCGCCACGCCCCAGGGGCCTCTAGAAGCTTCCCAGTCCCCAGAGCGACAAAGGCTGGGCTCCGGCCTCCCGTCAGCGCTGCCCTAGCCTTCAGCAGCAGCCCAGAGCCGGGCCACCCTACACAGCCAGCCTCCATCCGCTGCCAGAGACAGCTTCCCATGGCGGCGGGGGGGGGCACACTCCCCTGGAGCCAGAAGGAGAGGAAAAGCCCTGGAGAAGGCAGAAAAGAGGCAAGCGGAGATGGAGAAGGCCTGCAGAAAGTAGGGGTGGTTTGGGGGAAAAGCGCAGGGGCGGAGAAGAGCAGGGAAAGAGCAGGCGGGATGGGGGTGGAGGTGGGGAGAGCAGGCCCCATGCCGTGGGGCGGGGGAACTGCTCTGCTGGCAGGAGCAGGGCTACCGAAGCAGGAGCAGAGAAAGCGGGCGGGGCTGAGGCAGCCCAGGCAGGGGTTGAGGGGGGGGGAGACCAGGGGGGCAGGGGACCAGGACAGAAGAAGAGGGGGAAGCTGTGCGCCTGTCCTGCCTCCTGATCCTGCCACGTCTCTCCGGAGTCGCCCGCTCACAACCCACACGCGTCACGAGGGTCCATTCCCCACCACGCCCAGGGCAGTGCCCTGGGAGGGGCCAGACCTGGTCACTCCCTCGCCTCTTCCTCTACCCTCTGCCAGCTGCCTGCAGGGGTACCCGTGCCCGCAGGGGAGACACAGGTCCCTGGCAGGTCCGCACGACACCTACCTGTGTACTCAGGAAAGCAGATGGTCAGAGGTGACTTCTTGATCTTCTCACCAAAGAGATCTTTCTTGTTGAGGAAGAGAATGATGGAGGTATCGATGAAGAACTTGTTGTTACAGATGGAGTCGAAGAGCATGAGAGACTCGTGCATGCGGTTCTGCAGCCCCAGGCGGGGAGGGAGAGAGCCAGACAGACAGCGAGAGGGACAGACACGGAGACAGGGAAAGAGAAGATGGAAGTTAGGCTTGAGAGGGAGGAAGTGGTCTACTCGGCAGCTCAGGCAGGGCTCCCGGGCCCCCACGGCTCCTCAGCTCCTCGGAAGGCTGACAGAACGTTCTCGCACAGCATGGAGCTTCGCATCTCCAGCGTTCAGAGCAACCAACACCCCTGTCTCAGGGCTGGTGGCAGAGACTGGACTGGGAGCCAACCCGGGCTCCCTGAGTGAGGCTGAGGACGAGCTCTCCAGTCTGCAGTCTCCAGCCACGGGAAGGTCTCCGTGCGTGTTGGCGGGGGGTGGGGGTTGCTGGATGGGAGCCTGAGAGCCGGGCTTTGGCCCTTCCTGTCCGGACCTGTCCTGTTGGGCCTAACCTGTGGGTTGGGGTGTACTCTGGGAGTGGTGAGGGCCTCTAGGCCCCTCCTGTGGTCTGAGGGGAAGTCACGCCAGGCTCCTGCAGGAGTGCCTGGGGCTCTGGCCATACCCCCTCGGGCTGGGTCAAACTCAACCACGACTGGTCACGCGAGGAGCTTTAAGCACCGCAGATGTGGAGAACTGCTTTGCGCACAGGAGTTCATTTAGCAAATGAGTGAACACAATGGGCACTCCAAATCTAGCAGGATCCCAGGGGACAGCCCTCTGTCCGGGGCAAGGACGGACTTATCCTACTGTGGGATGCCAGGCACATGAACTTGGGCAGTCTGTTCCTTGGCAGTTTGTTCTCTGTGTACAAACCCATTTCTGCACAGGAAGGTGGCTCCCTCGTGATATAGCTCTCTGGGGGAAGGGAGAGCTGTTCATTTCCCCCAAGAACCCTGTCCTAACCCTGGAAACTTGTCCGCCCCAAACCTAGCTCCATGGGTCTGCAGGTCAAGTTCAGGAGTAATTCCAGGCTACACGCTCCCTCTGAAGTAAGAAGACTGAAGCAAATCATAGGAGAGAGCAGAGCAGTGGTGTGGGCATCACTGGGCGCTCATCACTGAGATGGACGAGCAAGCAGTGGCGCTGAGTAAACTGCTTTCCGACATCTCCCTCCAGCTGAGTGGGAGCGGGAAGCAGATGAAGCGACCACCACCCATCACCAAGCCCCGCTCTGCCAGCTCTTCCCGTGCCTTGTGTCATTTAACCTCATCGATCCTTAGGGGACAATGAGAGGTGACAAGGCTGGGATGAGGAAGAGCAGAGACCTGCACCCGGCTCTGGGCCAGACCAGAGCTTCTGCAATGCAATGGGTTGGTTTCTCCAGCCAGAGTGAGGAGCCTGTGGGCTTTAGAATAAATGATCAGAGAGTCATGGCCAGCTCCGCGTGCCTTCCATCATCTTTTCCATGACTGGTGACCTGGAAAGGGTATTGGTGCCAAACCCTTGTCCTTATGGTCAAGACCAGTTGGTGGAGGGGGCAGTCTAGGTTCTCAGCTGCCTCTCGGGAGCCCCTAGACAACCGCACGGATTTACGACGCCCTCTGGGATCTGTAGTAAATAAATGGCATCGTCCTCTCACTCTGCCGCACATATTCAGCAAACTCCTATGATCTTATTACCCTCCTAGCCTCAACCAGTCAATTTCATTCTCAGTCCCCGCAATTTCTACTGGTCAGTCGCTGCATAGTCACGCTCAGGGAGGCATGAGACACTTCCACCCGGTGCCATCTCAATGGAGGCTGTTCAGAAAAGGGCAGGCGCAGGTCTCCTGGGAGGCCAGGTGGATCCACGCGCAGGGGGGTGGGGGCTGGGAGTGCCCAGGGTCCCCGAGCCACCAGGGAGCAGAGGAGAGCCAACGATTCGATAGGAAAAGCCTCACCAACACACGACACCACCTTGTCCTATCGCTGCTCAACCAACAGCTGGAAGGCCTCAACCAGAGGCAAGATCCCAACTCACTGCCCAACTATCTCGACTTGATCTAGACGTTGGGGGACACGGTGGGGACATATGCCCAGGGCACTCCCAGGACCAGAAGGGGCCACTAGGGAGACCCAAGCTGAGAGTGCGGACTGTGCCCATTTGGCATGTGGGCTGAGCTGAAGGTCTGGAGGCCGCCAAGCTTAGGTCCGAAGGAAAAATCCAGGCCAGCTGCCTGGGCTCCAGAGTTCCACTTGGCTAAGGCTCGGCCCCTCCACGCCCCAGGGCTGCAGAGCGGGCACTCTTCCCACCAATACCAGCTGGATCTGTGTGCAAGGCCCTCCGTGGGGCAGCTACAGGGCTATAGGAACGACCGGCACAGTCTCCTGCTCTCCGAGAGCTCACAGTCTAGTTGGGGAGAGAAAATGCACACACGTGAAAAAGTCCCGGTTCCGAGCAAGCGAGCGAGCGGCACAGAGCAGGGGCGGGGCCGGGGAGGCAGCGACGCTCCCCAGTCAGACCTGGTCCGGTCGGGAGGGCATTGGAGTGAGCCTGGAAGGAGGGGCTGAGCCTGGAGATGCAGGAAGGGCAGTGGGGAGGGAGCCGCTGCAGGGAGGGGAGGCGCCGGCACCGAGAACCCCTCCACACCCCACAGGCCTCACCGCCATCCCTCCAAACACACTGGAACCCATCACCAAGGAGCCAAGAGCCCAGCTTGTCCATCCAAGCTTCCCCGGAGAACACGGATGCAAGAACACATTCACAAGAGGAGTTGTCAGCATGTGAGAAAAGAGAAGGGAGCCAGGGGCCACAGCCAGGCGACAGCACCCACCCCTGCTGTCGTCACCACCCTGTCTCTCCCAGTCTCCAGCAGAGCGTGGCCAGCGGCCTGGCTGCCACCACTGGAGCAGGGGCGTGGCCGGCACCAAGCACAAGGGATGGGACAGACCAGCCTCTGCCCTCACGACAATCCCGGTCACCTGGAATCCTGCCCCAGCAGGCTGTGCCCCTCTGCCAGGTGGCCCACAGTCCGGCCCCAGGACACGTGTCGTGCAGGGGGCGCCGGTGGAAGCAACTTGGGCACTGACGCAACACACCACACTCGTGCTAGGAAAAGCTGGCACATTTTATTAATGGTGGGTGACTAATAAATACATTACGGCAGCCAATAAATTATTACAATGACTAGAGATTAAACCGACGAGTCACTCTTCTTACAAAATTACAGTTAATATGGGGCGGGTGGCGCTGGGGTCGGGAAGTGGGACCACGGCACCTAAGAGGGGTTTGCTAAGAAAGGAGAGGCACGCCCAAGCCCACCTCTGCCGGGGACGGGGAGGGGAGGAGGCACAGGGCACAGAGGACACAGGGACTAAGACAGAGGGGACCAGGAGGTGAAGGGCCTGGCTGCTCAGGGAGGCCACGGGGACGGGGCGGGGTGGGGGGCAGGGGAGGAAAGGATGGGCCACAGGAGGGGTGGTGCCTCCGACGGGCGGTGGGTTCACGCTGGTGCCCTGGGCACCCTGGGCCTGGATGGGCCTCCCTTCTGTCTCTGCCCTGAGCAGGCCCTCCCTTGACGGGGGCCTTCATCTGGTTGGGGGTGCAGCGTGTCTGAAGCCCCCAAGGGAAGGCCCCACTTGGCTCCTGGGAAAGACGGCTGAGGACTCACCTCGCTGGGGGCGGGCGGTGGGGGGCAGCAGCTCACACCCGGGCCCTGATCCTGGTCTGGATGCTGTGTCCTGTCTCACTGCTCTGGGCTGTTGGACCCTCTGCTCTGTAGGCTTGTGGACTGACAAGGGGCGCTGTCTGGAGGGTGCTGGCCTTTGGCACCGAAGACTGAATCTCTGATGGCCACGGAGCCAGAGCCTCAAGCCTCAGTTCCTGAGAACTGCCAGGTTGTGCCTGAAGGCTTCCGGAAGGCTCGGGGAGGCCAGAGGCCACCCGAAGAGGCCTTGTGCACCAGACTTCTCAAAAAGGGGGCCGGGCAGGACACTACCTTGTCTGGAGGGAAGAGGTGAGGCCCGGATTGCGGTGGATTTACTCACCAAGAGGGCTGAAGAGTGTACTAGGTCAGGCCAAGGGAAGGGGGAAGGAGCCGGGAATGATGCAGGCCAGAGAGGAGAACCTGCAGAATCAGCCAGTGGGGCAGAGACTGTCACAGGGTTAGGTGGAAGCGGTGGGATATTCTTTCCCCTTGCAGGACTCTCCCTGGCAGAGGTGAGCTAGGTGAGCCAACTCCTGGGTGTTCCGTGTTGGGGATTTAAGGACCCTGGTCATGGGGGCTCTGGGTAGGGAGGGCAGTCCTGGAGGACAGGGGTGCCTCCAGGTCCCATCAGTGGGGCGGAACTGGACTCGGGGGAGAGGCTGGGAGGAGAGCTGCCTCCTGGCACCATATCTGGTGCTGGCCTTCTGCCCGGGCTGAGCCCACCGCCCCATGGTAGGAGCATGTGCCCATGGGTCCTCAGGTTCTGCTGGGACCAGAGAGGAGAAAAAGGGCCAGGGAACCAGGCATCTAGAGCTCCAGGCAAGGGGGCCATAGAACCAGAATGTCAGAACTGTTGGTGCGCTGTCTGCTCAGGGCTGGAGCAGACCCTGCACCTTCCTCAGGCCAGAGTCCACAGGCTCCACAGAGCCCTTCCTTGGGCCTCGGGCACTGCCCCCTCCAGGCAGGCCAGAGAGCCTTGGGGGCCTCTCTCAGTTCTTGGTGGGAAGGCTAAGACCTGGCTCTTGTGAGGGCAACTGGTGCAGGGCACAGAACCTGCCCACAGGCATCTAGACGGCAGGCATAAGTTTCACGGGTCTGGTAAAGGCGCCCCTCCTAGAGATCAGTTTCCCTTTGCCCTGATAAACTAGAGGCATGCAGAGAGTCGAAGCATGGCCTCTTTGGGGCACACACGGGGCCACTGTGGATAAGAGAATCACCCACGTCTGGTCACTCATAACATCTCCCCCACACCCACACCCACGACGGAGCCAAAACTCATCTGTCCCTTCAGTCGTTCCTCCCCATGGTGGAGCCACCTGTGACGACGTGGATGGGAGACGCAGAGGACAGGGAAGGAATTTCACCCTGGATACCTGCTCCTTGGGGGCTTTGACTAGATAGCCAAGGACCCCCTGGGCAGGCCAGGGTCAGAGGGCAAGAGTAGCATAAGCAGCTGAGCAGGGCAGAGCATCTGAGAGCGAAAAGGCACCCCAGGGCACGGAGGGGCAGGAAGGCTCCAAGCACCCCGCTCCCCAGCCTCCTAACATGGCAGATGGGGTGGGCTACGGCCCGGGGCCCTCCGCCTGGCTGCTGCCCTGGGCCTGGAGAGCAGGTGACTCCCACCTCTAAGACAATGGCCTTAGAGGTGGGGCTTGGCCAGTATACCCTTCTTAGCAGTTGCTTTTGAGTCTGGGTCACAGAGCAGCGTTAGGGGCACAGCTGCCCACACCCAGGGTGGTGCTGCCAGGAAGTAACTGCTACGCCTTCAGTGTCGGGCAACATGGCCCGACTGGCCCTGGCTGCCCGTGCGGGACACTGCGGCTGTCGGTCCAGGGGCCTGTCCTCTGCCACAACCCAGCACCCTGTACGAGGCGCAGCACACAACGAGGCAAGCAAAACCGAAATGGAGCTGGGCTGCCTGCTGTCTCCCATGAGGCCAGGGGCAGCAGCAGGACAGCCAGGCAGGGATGGGGCTCACCCCAGCAGCGCCCACCCCTGCAGGCGTCTGGCACTAGGGAAGGTGCCCTGGGTCTCCCGTGCACTACCCAGAGCTCCGGGTCTGTTGGAAGCGAGAAGCCCAGAGCTCCTGGCTGCGGGGCAGTCAGCGGCTGCGCTGGGAGGGCATGGGTCCTGCCTGGCCCGGGACTGAGCAGAGCCCAGAGTGGGTGCTGGAGGAGCAGAGGGCTTGAGGAGGGAGCCAGAGGCCCCTCAGGGGCGGCCCCTCTCCTCCTGTGGGCACATCTGGCTCCCCAGGCAAAGCCGCCATCCAAGCACACAGGGTCTGCCTGGGGTGTTGACTGGTGGCATCCGCCAACAGGAGGCGCCCAGGAGAGAGAGAAAGAGGTGTGTTCATTGTCCAAGGTCAGCCAGGGCCTGGGGTCACCAGGAGGAGTCACCCCACCCTTTTCTCCTCAGGGGTCTCTACAGCAAAGCCCCTCCAAGGGGTCTCAAGTCTCTCTGTCCGGGGAGGGGGCTGGGGCCGTGTGTGTGTGTGTGTGTGAGCCAGGCTGTGCCCCTCACAGCACACACAGTATGATGGGCCCGTACGTCTGCCCTCCTCTGCCCCCGGGGGCTGGCGGGACCCCAAGGGCTGTGGACAAACTCTCCGATTTCTTCACCAAGACAGAAGGAAGCTGGGACACCGGCTACAGGGGCCGTGCCCACACCTCCCCTGGGCCTGCTCAACTGCAGAACCTCCAGTCCCCAGGCCCCCTGCTGCCCCAGCTGGTTTGTGTTGGATTCCCGTGAATTTGCAAAGAAAAAGCACATCTGCTCACACTCCAGAGCGGCCGCCCAAGCCCCGGGTGACTGACGGGAGAAGTAGATAAGCCACCCTGGGGCCTACAAAGACCGGGTGGGAGGCCCCCATCCCAGTCAACGCAAGAGCCACTTCCTCCGGCCTCCCCTCCCCCACCGTCTCTTCCCCACCTCGTCCAGGCACCGCAGGACTCAACCCCGCTGACCATCTACCACGTGCCTTTGCAAGAAGTCGGTCTCAGAAGCATTTCCAGGCCTGTGAGGAGTCGGGGTGGGGGTTCCCCAGCAGGGCACTGGGGAGCCCCAGAGGTGTGAAGGGAGGGAGGCCCAGAGAAGGAAGGACTGGCGTCCAGGACTGAGGTCCAGGGGGAGGAGGAGGGAGGCATTGCCGAGGCCTGAGCCCCCGGACCCACACGCGGTTGGTGGCCTGGTCTCACCCTGGCCTTTGGTGACAGAGCTGCCCTCGACCAGAGGGACCCCAAGAAAAGCTGAGCAGCGGCTCCCACTGCCCCCGCTCCGGCCAGAACGCCGCCCCACCACCTGCACAGCTTCGAAGACAGGAGGGGACCCTGGGACCTCAAGCCCGAACCACTGCATGCAGAGCGCGCCCATTCTGGCCCGGACGGCGGCGTGGGCCCCGTACACCTCTCTCCCAGGGAGACACCCAGCGATGGCGCGGAGGCCAGCGGGCCGTCTGTCTCGGCAGGTGTGGGCACTCGGCGCCCCCGCCAACCCCGTTACCACGTGTTCTGGTGTCTGGGGCAGGGGAGGCCGTGGAGGGCGCCTCCTCTTCCCCACTCAGTGCCATCTGCTGGTGCTCCCTTGTCCAGGGCAGGGGTGGGGCGGCAGGCTGGGCAGGGTGGTGGGCAGCTGGGTGGCGAGGCCAGGGCTCAGTAGAGGCCACAGCCCCGAAGGTTTTTGGCGATGATGACGTCCGTCACGGCGTCAAAGACAAACTGGATGTTGTTGGTGTCAGTGGCACAGGTGATGTGGGTGTAGATTTCCTTGTGGGCCGACTTGTTCTTGCTCTCGTACTGCGCCTGGATATGAGCCACGGCTTCCGTGAAGGTGTTGGGGCCTGCGGGAGAGACCAGGTTGGGAGCTGGTGAGGCGAGGCCCCCACCTGGGTGCCGGTCAAGCCACGGGCTGGGGAGCGGACACCAAGGGCCTCTCAGTGACAACCCTGCAGGAGAAACCTGACGACAGCTCAGCTCGATCAACAGTGGGTCATGAAACCAAGTCCATGGTCCACATCCAGTTTAAAACCAATGATGGAAACAAGAGATCAAACCTCACCAGGCCTCACCTGTGCTAAGGGTGAACACTGTTTCATGGAACTCCTGTTTCTTTTCACAGATGCATGTACGGGCTCCTGATGCAAACATTCTCCCTTCCTGCGGGTCCTGCCCAAAGAAATCTGAACCAGCCCTCACACAGGTGCAGAAGTCTGCGCCAGCCCCTGCGGGCTGTCCTCTCCTGGCTGTGACTCCTCGGAGTGGGCAGGGACACCACCTCCCTTGACTGCTGCTGGGCAAGGTGGGTGGAAACTGCCGCACCTGGGAGCCGCCCTGGCCTCCTTCCTCTCATCGCCCCGCCCTCCTTCCTTCCCCCTTCCTCCTTCTCACGTTCACCCTCCAGGGATTAAGAACTGTCTGGCTTGCTGACTTGCTGCCTTCTTTGCTGCCACATCACTCTGTCCCTGGTGAGTCCAGAGAGAGGCGCTTCCAGGAGAGCAGATGCCGTTTAGGGAGGAACAGAACAGGACTCCTGGCTTTGCCCTGAAGCCTCCACTGGCTCCAGGAACCCCGGCCCAGGCCCAGGTCCAGGCAGGGCTGTCACAACCCACTGAGGGAGCGGGGGGGCGGGCTGGACTTCGGAGCCACAGCAGGACGGACCCAGCCCCTCGGCACATGGGCACAGGCCACCGGGCCTGGCCTTGAGGGTCTACCTAAATCTGGGCCGGAGGTGAGGGAGAGGGTCCCTGGGACCTCGTCAGCACCAAACGGCCTTGGTGACTGACTCACCTTGCTTCTTTCTGCTGCACCAGGGGCCACAGCCCAGGTCACCTAGGGTGGGATCCACAGACCCCCCAATTCAGATACGACTAAAAGGAGGCTGATGGCGTGTGTGAGGGGTGCTGAGCCCGGCCCACCTCTGGCTGCATGCTGCTGGGGCCTGACCCACGGGGCAGGCAGCCTGATCTCGAGGAAGGGGAGACAGAGTGAGCTGTGCTGCTTGTCCGGCTCCAAGCCACAGCCCCCACGTCCACTCTCGGGGAGCTGGGGTTCAGCCTGGAGGCTTACCTAGCAGGCTCACCTTGTTGGGACCCTGTCTACCCTTGGCTCTCCAGGCCGGGGGGCTGGTCAGGCTGGGGATGCCCGCTTTTGCTTCCATTCGCCTCTCTGACCAGTCTCTGGCCATCCTGAAGAGCCAGCGAGCCCGTGGGCTATTCCAGGCACCCTGCTGCACCATGAGGGCCCTGGCCAGGCTGCCCACCCACCCACAGTGAGGTAAACCCATGGCAACATGAACAGAGGTGGCCTCCGGCACCCTCAGCACCCTCTGCAGGACGGCCCTGGTCTCTGCTGCTCGCGAAGCTCTCTCATGTTCAACAGGCCATTTGAATGGGGGTGCTGTCACGATACTTTTTAGCATCACAGTCATAAGAGCAATAGTGAATGTTTAGTGAGCACTTACTATGCAACGACTGCCATGCTAAGCCCTCCATGCTTCTTAGCTCACTTTGTCCTCTGGCAACTCTGGGAGGGAGGGTGGATAATCACAGTGATTGTTCCCATCTCACAGACACAGAAATGGAGGCTCCGAGAGGTTATGTAACCTGCTGTGAGTGGCAGAGTGGGGGTACGAACCTTGGGCTGTCTGACTCGAAGCCCCGACCTTCAACCCCATCATCATCTTGGTATTGCCATTTTACTGATAAGCTCTATTTACAGATGACCAAGCTGATGTCCAGAGGTTGCCGAGATCACACAGCTCGTAAGTGGCAGAGCTGGGATTCCAGCCCTGCTTCCCCTGACCAGGATGCCCCAGTTGGCTGCCCCACCCCCTCGCAACAGCATGTTGTGGGGAAGGGAGGGGACCCGCCTTCGGTTTTGTGTTGGATTCTCCAGGGCAGAATCTGGTGTGTCCGCAGAGCATGGTGAGGGGGAATGAGCTCCCTCAGGAGCTGGTGTGGCCCGAGCGGCTGCGTGGCCCCCGCGGTCCCCGTGGGGAGTGGCAGTCTCTACCTGTGTACTCAGGAAAGCAGATGGTGAGCGGGGACTTCTTGATCTTCTCTTCGAATATGTCCTTCTTGTTAAGAAACAGGATGATGGATGTGTCCGTGAACCACTTGTTGTTGCAGATGCTGTCGAAGAGCTTCAGCGATTCGTGCATGCGGTTCTGCAACAGAGTGGAGAGGCAAGTGAGGGCTGGCGGTGCCCGGGGCCCTGACCCACCGCGGCCAGTGACAAAGCGGGACAAGCGAAGGGAAGGTCCACCAACACGGCTGAATGCACCACCAGGGACGGAGACAGGAGGATCCACGAGGACAAGGACATGGTCCCTGCTGCATTCCACACGCAGGCGGGGGGGCGGGTGGAGCAGGGCACAGGGTGGGGAACGCCACCCCCCCACTGAAGAGGGCTGACCCGGGCCAGGGCAGTGGGGTCACCAGAGGGACTCTAGCCCATGGAGAGGACATGCACCATGCACGCGGGGGCAGGGGCCACGCCACCATCCACACGTCCACACGGGACCTCGGGCATGCAGATTTCTCTACTGGGGTCTCATTTGGTTTCGCCAGCAGGGGTGGGAGGGTGCACGCATTCAGTTGGGAAACATTAACCGAGGACCAAGAGATCCTCAAATTAATCCAGAGTTGGAAGCAGACACCAGGGGGACAGCGTCGGGGGAGTGATCTTGCTGTGGCCTTGGTGTGGTTGGAGACTGGGTGGGTTAGCTGGGCCGTGGGGCGGCTCTGGATGAGCTGCTTTTGAGGCTGGTTTCCTGGTAGAGGGGCCAGAAGAACCCCAAGATGAAAGCCAGCAAAACAGACGAAAACAGAGAGGAAGATAAAAACCCAGCAGAAAACATGAGAGAAAGAAAGAGAAAAAAAAAGCAAAAAACAAAATTGGTTCAACCGGTCTCGGGCCAGGAAGTCGAAGCCGGTCCCTCCGGAGGCCCCCGTGCAGGCTCTGGAGGCCACGGCCACCCTGGGGCTGTGGACTGCGTGGCTGGAGATGGAAGGCGAGGGTGGGGAAGACCAGCCTAAGCCCAGTGGCTGGTGAGGAGTGTGGACGCGGGAGTGGGGGGCAGGCTTCACAGTAAAGTCACCCGGCGGTGCCCTGGGAACCTGCTGCTTTCAACTCTTAGCTGATGGTGTCAACTGGAAGGAGGCGCTTCATACCTGCCCGACTTGGAGCGTCTCAGAATCTGCTCATGGTTTTGGCCTTGGTTTGGCAAGTTAAGGCCCTGCAGGTGGCGGTGACGGCACTGGCGCTGAGAAGTTGTGGCAGGTGAGGCCCGGGGCCGCTGGGGTCTGGGCCACAGTGGGCAGGGTGGCCGGCCGGTGGGCGGGCAGCCACTAGCCCCAGGGGTCCTGGCTGAGCTCCAGGAGCCTCCAGACACCTTTCTCTCAGGCAGTCCCAATTTTTACCCCAGGCTTGGGAGGGAGGGGCAGGGCCGACCGGAGAGGAAGGTGGAGGACCAAGGACTGGTCAGCAGGGTGGAGCTCTTGCCTCGCGGGGGCAGAGCGTCCTCGTCCCATAGCTTGTCCTTGAGCCGTGTGCCTGGACAGAGCCATCCCACAGCTGCCGCCTGCTGAGTGGAGAGTCCTGAGGGCAGGCACTCTTGCAGCTCCGAGCCTGCTGGTCCTCACAGCCGCCCAGAGGCTGCTCTGCCACGGGCTCCATTTTACAGAGGGGCAGGTGGAGCAGCTGCCACACTCACCGGCGGGAGGGGGCGGGGCTAGACCGCGGGCCACATCCGCCCAGACCCCCAGCTGCCCAACGCTGCCACCTGGCCCTGGACACACAGGCGTTTTGCGCAGCTCTACGGCGCTGTTCTTGCTGTCACCGTGGCAATGAGCCGCCTTTGTGGGCTCTTGTTAAGTGGTAAAGCCAACTCCCGTGCCCTGGAGGGGCTGCTGGTCTTTCCTGGGTGGACAGAGCCCCAGGAAGAGCCTGCTCCTGGCTGTGGCCCCACGTGCTGTTGCTTCCCCAAGGTCCTCTGCTCCAGCCCTTGTGAAGAAGGGCGGGGAAATGGGGGAGAAGGAGGGAGGTGGGAGAGAGACAGTAAAGGCAGGAAGGCGAGAAGGAAGGTGCCCCAGGACAGGCCCTGCTCCGGAGCGAGGGCTGCCTGGGCGAGCAGACCAGAGAGGCCATCCGAGGGTGAGGCCTGGCACCTGCCCGTGTTTACTGGAGACCCGAGGGCCATGGAGCTTGGGACCCCGTGGCTGCCAGACCCGCCCAGACGTCCCTCTGCTCTGCCCTGTGCTCCAGAGGTGAGTGCGAGCCCCCTGCCCCAGGGCTGATGGGCCTGGGACTTGGGATTGAGCTGAGCGGGTCCCCAGGGAGAGGCCTGGGGCCCTCGACACCCCAGTGCTTCAGTTTGTTTGAAACCGACGGCAGGATCAGCTCTTTGCTCACTGCACCAGCCCTGCTTCCCACTCCCAGGCGCTGCAGGAAGAAAAGATGAGCCACCTGGATCTCAGATCACGTGAGTGGCCAAGTGGACCGTGAACAGTGGGTCCAAAAGCAGAGTCAACAACGGACCAGTGAGAGACGTGCTGGGGCAGTCCCTGCACGCGGGTGCCTTGTGGGGGCAGCAGGAGCCGACCTTTGGGGCTTTGGGGTGGTCAGTGGGTCCAGGTCTGGTGATCTTAGACGCCACAGCCAGCTGAGGCCACTGAGAATGATTACGGCGTTACCAGAAAGAACTGCACAGCTGGGGCCCCAGAGACTCGCCCTGGAACAAGGCAGGGCTTGGGGGGCTTTGCTGATGCCTAACTCAGGAGTGTACCTGGGACTGAAGGAGAAAGGGCAAGAGGCACAAGCCAGCACGTGGCGCGAGTCCGGATCACCCACCCGGCCAGCGGCCCTGGCCCCAATCTTCCCACGGCCTCATTGTTGCATAAGTCCTGCAGGACGGCGGCTCCTCCTCCCCACAGCACTGCACCCCAAAGCTCAGCAGATGTTCGCAGCAGTCCCAAGGGACCAGCAGGCAGGACTGATGAGGAGACAGGCCCAGAGAGAAGACAGGCCTTGCTCAAGGCCCACCGTGACGAGCCCAGCCCCAAACCCTCAGTGCCAGGGCTCTGTGCCTGCTTCACACAGCAGGAGCTAATGATCGCCAAAGGTGTGACCCCACAGCCCAGGAGCCCTACCGCGGCAGCCGCTTGTCTCCGGAGAACCCGTGGTGTGCCGGGCCAGTGCTCGGCTTTCCCTGCAGGCTCTGCAGCAGGCCCACCTCTCCACGGGCAGCTCAGTGGGCCCCCAGCTCAGCACAATCCCCAGTGATAACACAACCACCCGCTCGGCGCTGCTGTGCCAGAAACGGTTCCAAGTACTTCTCGCGGATTCTCACTCCATTGCCAACGCCCCACCAGGCAGGTACTACAGTTACACCCCTTAGACAGCAGACAGTAACCGAGGCAGAGAGGGTGTTGCCTGAATTCCGCAGCAAACCAGGCCCAGGCTCTGCCACGGTGTGTGCAGCCCAGGCCCAGAGAAAGGCCACGCCCTCTCCAGGTGAGGGCCCCCCTCTGAAGCCAGCCTGGCAGTTCTCTGAGGCCCCAGACTGAAGACGCATTGACGGGAGGCGGGAACCTGGGCTGGCGTCCTCCAGGGGAGCGGCCCGCGCCACCGCTGTCACTCGCCTACATGCCACGTCCCATTGCCCTTCTGGCTACCAGCCCCGTCCACTGCTCAGGGAGGGCCGTGAGGGCTAAGAACTGCTATTTCTGTCTTACGTACATTCTTGCTCGACTGCACCCTGATTTCGTTTAGGATTTGCTTAATTTGATTCTGGCCTGACGGCCTCTGTGACTCTGCTGAATTCATTAAAGAGGCACGTACTGCCCGAGACCCAGAGTCCGCAGAGACGTTTGTCACCAGTCTGCATGCAGCCTCTGAGCAGGGCGGCCTGTGGCTGCCTTTGCTGCATTGGCATCACGAGGCGTTTGCCCCGCAACGAAGTCAGAAGAGGGAGCCCGGGCATGGCCTGGCCGACAACGGAACCCCCGGCCACCGCAGCCAGCCCCACCTGAGAGCCGCCTTGGTCCATGAGGCCAGGCGGCCCAGGGCCACTCACCGTGGTCTCGTCTTCGTGGAGCACCTGGTCATAGCCGCTGAGTGCGACGCAGAAGATGATGGCCGTGACGTCCTCGAAGCAGTGAATCCACTTCTTGCGTTCAGATCGTTGGCCCCCGACGTCGAACAGCCTGCAGGGGAGACAGGGAAGCTGGACGTGGTGGGTGGTGGGGCCCCGGCCGCTGTGCGGACACTGGTCAAGCAGGCGGCGGGGTGGAGGGGGCTGTACACGCAACGAGCCTCCCAAGGAGCCTCACTCCGGGTGCTCAGGGCTGACTGCCGCGTCCCTGGGGCAGGGTGGCCGTCACTGCTTCTGCCCCATGACTGGGCTGTGCTCCCACAGAGACTCGAAGACCTGCGCTTGCATCTCAGGACTTTTACTAACGCCTCTGCAAGGTTCCCGAGAAACACCTCTGCGAGGTCCTCTCAGGGTAACACGCACATCCTGTCCCTGGCTTTCTGAGCGTGTCTGTTCACGTCTGTGGGCTGTGAAAACTCCAGAGCAGCCCAGGAGGGAAGGAGGGAGGCAGGGAGCGTCACCTGCTACATGGAGGGACAGTGAGGCACCAAGGGGTTAAGTGCCCAGGGTCCTGGCAGGAGTTGGTGTGGTAGAGGTGGGGTGAGACCCAGGTCTGTCTGCAGACAAAGCCTCTGCTCTGTGCCTCCCCTCCCTCTCCCCCTCTCAGACACCATCCCCCAGGGGGCACGAGGGCCGTGGGGGTTGACTGTGGCAGGTGCGGCTTGGTTCCTGGAAGGAAGAGGTCAACCTCACACCTAACGCCCTGAATGAAGGTCCACTGCCTCCTAGGCCTGGGAGGTCTGCTGGCACACAGCTGCCGGGGTGGGCTGGGCCCTGACCTCCCGACAGAGGAGAGTAACCGCAGGCAGAGCCCAGAGTGGGCCTGGAACAAGGACACAGGCCTTGTACTCGTCCCATCACCACCTCCCTTGGATCCTGCTTCCCCATCTGAAATGCTGGGCACAGGCTGATGGTCTCTGCGGCCCCTCCACAGCGCTTATGCTCAGACTCTGCAGGCCGGGCAGCCCCGAGCCCAGCCCCGCACCCTCTGCCCCCGAGGGCTGAGGGGGGAGAGACTGGAGGGAGTAGGGGGCAAGAGGCACCTTGTGGGGCCTCTGTGCCCATCACTGTGCTCCCCAGGTTCAGGGGAGGCCTAGGGGTCCGTGTGCCCAGTGGGGCTTGTGCGGCCCTGCGGAGATAGAGACAGAACTTCAACGCCCTCTGTCTCAGTGAGAGCGGGCAGGGGCTGGGCCGTGGGCTGGCCAGCGGTCCTGGAGTCCAGCCCTCCCAGGGTGGGCAGGGGGCCAAGAAGCGGCCTTACACAGGCCACTCCTCCTGTTCTACCTGACACCTGGAAACCACACATGGAGGCAGGGAGGGGCAGGACGGCGGCTCCCAGGCCTCAGTGCCTGGAGGCTGCCCCAGGTGGCGCCACAGCCCTCCAGCAGGGCCTGTTCTGAGGCGCTCAGGCCCCTGGACTTGAGCTGTGTTCTGTGCTTGGGGACCGCCTTACTCCTCCCAGGCCTCGGTTTCCCCAAGAGTACCCGGAGAGGGTGGGTCAGCTGATCTCCAAACCCTCTCCAGCTCTGAGATGACATGGGTCCTGGGGTTGCACACATGTCGCTTGGGTTCACCCACCTTATTCCCCACCCCTCTCACAAGGTGGCCTCCAAGGGGCCACCTAGGTGATCCCCCTCCTCCTCCTCCTCCTCCTCCTCAGAAATCACCCAGGGACAGGACTCCCCTCCCTTGTCCGCTTAAATCTTCCCTGTTCCTCAGAGCCCCACTCTAGGACCCCTCTTCCAGGAAGCCTCCCCGCTCACCCCAGCCCCCGAACTTGGTGCAAGAGAGGTACACAGATAGGCCCCTTCTCGTATCTAACTGCCTGTCCCAACTCGAACGCTCCCCGAGGCAGGGCGACATCTGGGTGCTCCAGACGAGGCGAGGCCGAGAGGCAGGCTTTGCCCATCTCTTGGCACCCTCGCCAGGGCTCGGGAGCCTCCCTGGGCCTCACCTGAAGTGGAGGTTCTTGAATGTGAAGTGGGTTTCTACGATGCCAGTGGTTTTGACCCTGGTTCGGAGGATGTCCTGCTCGGTGGGCTGGTAGTCGGCAGCCCCGATCCGATCCAGGCTGTCCAGGTAGCTGGGGATGGCAACACACAGGGGACCATAGACCAGGTACTGGGCACCGCCCTCCCCGAGAGCCAGTCCTGACTGGGGCTGTGGAATGATGGCTCCACGCCGTCCAGGGCCAGGTGTTGGCGGGGGCGGGGGCAGCTGAGAAAGAGAAGCTCACGTCCCCGCCGCACGCGCTCAGAGCCTCTGGCTCAGACCGACGGCTACGCACACGGCTCCAGGCACACTCAGACAAGGCCGAATCTTTAAATGAGACTAACGTGTTTATAATAGTGTTTGTCGTTTCTTCATCTTAAAATAATAATAGGCAACAGTTAGGTTCTAGTCTTTATACGCATCATCATGTTTCATCCTTAATTTCCTGAGTTAGATGTACTATTTCACAGATTAGAAAACTGAGGTTTTCTAATGAAGGTGAGTGCCTCACCCAGCTGTGAGCCAGGCATTGGGATTCCACCACTTAACGGTTCCCTATGGTGCTTCCCAGAGGCCCTCTGAACCTCCGCCTGCCTCTTCCATGTTCCTTAGGGTTTATCAAGGGGGCCATCGTATCGTCCCATATGGTGCTCCTGGGAGGCTCAGAGGTCACACAGCCAGGCAGGGGTGGGGCCTTGCTGAGACCCAGGTCTTTGGCCTCAGAGCCCCTCCCACACCAACACTTGCTCTGTAGACAGACCAGGCCTCTGCACTTCGCCCGCCCAGGCCACGCACTGGGAAGGGCTTTAGGGGTCGGTATGGGCTAGGTTTGAACCCCAAGCCAGGTTGGGATCCAGGAAACCAGAAAGGGGGGAGCTCGGTCAGGCTGGCAGGAAGATTCAAGGACCCAAAGGGCCAGCCGGGCTACCCATCCCTGTGTGGGGAGAGCCCCACACACAGCCCATGGGAAGCGGCCCTGAGGGCCTGAGTCATGGCATGACGTGGGGTCCCAGGCTGCGCGTGGAGGGGCTGTGCTTTATCGGCACCTGCCCTGGGACCCTCTGGGGGGCTGGCTCCCCAGCTTGTGGATGTCCACAGGGCTGGGAAGGGTAGACGCCTTCATCGAGGAGGGTGTCCCTTGGTAAACCAATAACCCAGGCTGCCTCAAATCCTTGTGAGAGTTCTCCCTAAGGAAATAAAGCCGACGGTGTGTTCCCAGGCTCAGGGAAGGCAAGCTTGAAGCCACACTCTTAGAAAGAGGACACTGCTGGGACTCGAGCGCAGGTCTGCCTGACTCCAAGGCCCGTGCTCTTAAACTGGCCTGCAGGCCTGCTCTCCCCTGTGGAAGGAGAGAGGCAGAGGCAGCAGAGCAGACCTGAAAGCTCTGGCTGCTGCAGAGCCTCCTCTCCAGGCCTGTGGGCATCTGGGCAGTCTCTGATCTCAGCCTGGAGGGCCCCTTCCCGCCCTTCCCAATCCTCCCAAACCCTCTGTGCATGCCCCTCCCCACGCTCCCACTGCCTCTGCTTAGAAGCTGTGTTGGTTTCAAATCGAGCCTCCTCCTGTCGTCTCCAGCTGGAGACCAGGGCTGGGAGCCTCTGGTCTTGGCCCCCATCCCAGCTGGGGAACCTCCTTTAGACAGACAACCTGGCCCTCTGTCTCTCGGTGCTGGCTGAGCCTCACGCAGGGAGGAGGCCATGGCGGGGGTAGGGTGAGCACAGTGGACCGTGCACCTGCTGTGTGTACTGTCTGCCGACTGTCCTGGGTTCCCCGGAGCCTGTGTTCCTGTGTGTGTGTGTGTTCCTGGGGGTGTGTGTGTGTGTGTGAGGTAAATAACAGATGAGTAAGCTGTGCAACATGTCAGGAGGTGATAAGTGCCAGGAGGAAAGAATCAGGCTACCAGTAAGTGGGGAGGCTGGCTGGGGGCGGCGATTTGATATCAGGTGACTGGGGAAGGCTTGTCGAGCAGGATGACATTCGAGTGCAGACTGAGGAGGTGAGGGGATGAGCCTCTCATGCCGCAGCAGCAGGACCAGGGGGCACAGAGGCCACGACCTCAGTGGAGGAGGAGCCCAGGCTGCAGGCGCTGGACGGGAGGTGGTGGAGAGGCTGAACACGGGGCAGGCGCAGGTAGTGGCGAGACTGGAGGGGTGATGGAGGTGAGGGGGACACAGCACGTAGGCCCCTGAGGTCACTGTAAGGACTTGGAATTTCACTCTGGAAGGCTCTGACCAGAAGAGCGTTGGAATGATGGCTCTGCGGCTTAAGGAGAGCAGATGGGGAGGGGGGCAGGAAGACCCGAGAGGAGGGAAGGAGAGGACGCTTTGCCAGCCAGCGCTGACCTTTAGTGGGGACCTCAGTCTGGGAAAAAATAATCCTACCAAACCACAGAACTACGTCTTACAGCTCCTGCTGGGATGTGCTCAGGTTTCTGAGTTTCCAGGACCTGTCTCAGAGCCATCATTCAGAAGGGAAAGGGGAGGGCCAGCCGTGTTCACCCGCCCCCGGCTCATGACACAGAGAGACCCGGGTGCCCTGTCTCCCCGAGAGCCCTGGAGCCTCACCAGTAACATGAGAGGACGGGCCAGCTCCCCAGGGCTGGAAGGGGACATGTGGTGACTGAGGCTCTGGGCCTTGGAGAGACACTCACACAGTCTGGGATGTGACTGGTGCCCCCCGGAACTGTGCCAGGCGACAGCCCTACTGGGCCTCTCCTTTCTGTCACAACAAATCTACGTTGAACTGTTTCACATTTTGGGCCTCATCTCTTGTCAGAAGACGAGATTTAGCAGCTGAAACTACAACAGCAAAGCAACCCTAGACCAGAAAGTGTTTAAGGTCCTTCCGAACCTGACTGCCTGTGGGTCCCGCCCTTGCCCGCCTCGGAGTCCCGTCCCAGAGACGACAGAGAGAGGAGGGTGGGTCTCCTCAGCTTAGCTGGGGGGGAGTTGACAAGTACTGACTCAAGTCCTTCATTTCAAGTTATAAAGGTAACCACCAGAAGAACTAAAAATAATCCTGTAAAACTAGCAAAAAACTGGTGGTGGAAGTGGGGAACAGCAAAGGAAGGTCTGACTCCCTCAGCTTTCACAGCTGGAGGTCATTAAATACTATTTATAGTTGGAGGGTCAGGTTTTTCTGGACAAGTAAATGGAGATAGTTAACAGCAGGAGGGGAACAGGCCTGGGAAGAGGATTCACTATCAATTTTATACCTTTCTGTATTGTTTTAAAATTTCTTTGCCATGGGTTCAAATTATAATTAGTTAAGTGGTAACAATTTAAGTGGGGGTCACGATTTGATGCCCTGAGGAGCCCCTGAGGGTGGTGGGGAGATGGGAAGGGCCTGGACTTGGGCAGAGCAGTGGGCACAGAGGGGGAGACGAAGGGGGGGACTCTCTCCAGGCCTGAATGGCTGTGCGTTGAGGGGGCGACCTGGGTTGAGGTCTGTGACCTGAGTGTACAGAGAGAGGTGTGGACTTGAACCTTTGGGCTCGCACCCCTGGTCCACCAAGGTGTCCTGGGGGCTCATCAGTGGCTGGGGCCTGCGTCGCTACCACCTGGGACTCACGGGACCCAGGCACCTGCCCCGTGGACAATCTAGGTGTGCAGAGATGGGAAGACAAGCCCCTGGTTCGTTAGCTCTCGTCACAGCCAATGGCAATGTCCCAGCATCCACTAGTGAGCGCTGTTTTCTTGGAGTTAGCCTCCGCTACATCGGCACCGTGGAGACCAGCGTTTCTTAATCTTGGCGATACTGACATTTTGGGTCAGGTAATTCTTTGCTATGAAGGACTGTACAGTGTGTCTGTAGGAAGTCAGCAGCATCCCTGGCCTCTACCCCACTAGACATCTGTAGCACCACCCTAGTCAGGACCATCGAAAATGCCTCCAAACATTGCCAATGTCCCCTGGGGGCAAAGTGGCCCCAGATGAGAAGCGCTGGTGAGGAAGCTGAGCAGATCAGTGTCGGAGCACAGGTGTCCTAAGATAGTGGGGTTTAAGCCCAGAGGCTCCCACTGAAAACCTGGACATGAGACTGTAAAAGTGGGTGCGTTTCCTGAAAGCTGGAGTGCAGGGACAATGTCTTCAAAACAGAAGGCGTGTCCCCGACCACCACAGATCATTCCCAGAGGCCTGGAGCCCCCGATCTAGGGGCCAAGGGCATGTAAACTTCCAGACGCCCAGAGTGACAAGGCTGCAGCAGGCAGTCCTGTGATCCCCTGTCACTCCCTCTGCCTTCCCCTCTCCTACCCCTCCAGCCCTCTCTGGCTTTCAGCTGCTTCACCCCCTCTCCTCGCCTGCCCCACCGGGCCCCTCTCTCTCCTCTGTCCTTTTCTTCCCCTTATTAGTTATAACACAGTATTAAAGTGTATGTTTGATTATTTATTTTACTTATCTGATGGGTTACATATTCCTTATTTTTAATTTTAAAGATAGAGGAATGGAAAGGGTATTATTTTCTCAAAAAGAAGACAAAAGGGCACCATGTAAGTTATTTTCTATGTTGCCCTTGATTTGTACTTATGGGGTCAAGGGTTCTCCAGGGGCAAAAACACTGCTACACTGACAATCTTCCTTCTGGAGGGCCAGGCCCCCTCCAGAGCAAGCAGGTGATGGCCCCTGGGCCTCTGGGAGCCCTGTTGTCGGCTTGTGCCCCCCACCTCCCTGGCCTCCTTCTCATCCCGGAGGCAGGAGGAGAAGCCCCTTCTCCTTCCTTCCTGACGCCCGAGGCAGAACACCTCACAGCGGTTCCCACCTCAGCAAGGGCGCCTCCTTGCCCCACTGACCCCAGCCCTTCCACGCCCGCACTGCTGCCCCACTCTCGGCCTCCCGCCTGCCTGGGACACTCACTATTTGGCGGAGTCGTTGAGCTGATACTCCCGGGACCTGTTGAAGCACTCCTGGATCCCTGAGTCGCCCCAGAGTCGCACCATGGCAGAGAGCAGCTCTGGAGAGAAGGGCTCCGTGTCTTCCATTCGACTCACCACATCACACACCATCTTGGCATCGGCCTGTGAGGAGACATGGACGGCGGCTTTGAGGCCTCGGTGGGGACAGAAGCCCCGGCCGGGCACCTGCTAGGGCACCGGGACAAGGGCTCAGCCCTAGGCCTGGTCAGGGAGAGGGGAAGCAACAGAGGGTCCTTTACTCAAGGGCACGGTAATCGTTACTAGACCACTGCTCCACTCTCGAGCCCTTTCAACCCTGCCGCCCTCCAAGTAAGCCAGAGACCCAGGCTCCCCAGCCTGCCGCACGCGGCTCAGGAAGCGAGCGGAGGTGCTGGAAATCTGCAGGTGTCCTTCGCGGTGGGAGAGACACGAAGGAGACAAGGTCAACGCCTGGAAGACTTGTAGCCAACAAAACATTCTGCACCAAGGTACGTGGGGCCAAAGCCTTCTGTGGAGACTTCCGGAATCAAGCTGTCCGGCTAAGTAGCTACTTATGTCTCAGAGCCTGTCTACTGCACAAGGTCAATGGGAAAACGCTGGCACTGTGTCCCCTTCTGCCCGCCGGCCCTGGGAAGGAAGCCACAACTGGCCTGGAGGCCAGCAGGCCATGCCCATGATGCTGGCCCGGACCTAGCTCCCTAGGGACTAGTTGTCCCGAAGACATCAGCCCTCGGATTCCCAAAGTCACCCTCAGCTGACAGGGAGGGCTGCCCACCAGGAGAGCGTGGGTCCCCGTCCGTCTAGGAGATGAGTTTCTTCAGCACCGCAGCCTCCCCTGGGGGCAGCCACCTGCAAAGCTGGCCCTGGGACTGAGGCGTTGGGTGCCTTAGGCAGGCGGTGACTCAGGGATGCAGGCGTGGGTGAGCAGGGTTGGTGCCTCCACCTGGGGCTAAAAACAGGCCTGTGAGTCAGGGCCTATGTGCTGATGCTGCTCCTGTGTGCCTGCATGACCTCGGGAAATCTCAGCCTGCTTTCCCACCTGTGGGATGACTGTGACAAACCGGGCCAGTTTCCCAGACTTCCTCCTGTGGACCCCTCCTTCCAGGTTCCTGCCTGATCTGTGAGAAGGGAGTCGGGACCTGAGGGATGGGTAGGGCAAGACTTCCTGCTGGGGGAGAGACACCCTCCCACCTAGAGCCGCACTGTGCCTCAGCCAGGCCACTCAAGGGTGTGGTGTAGAAACCATGGGCCTCCACAAAGCCACTTCGTGCTCCTCTGTGTGTGGTCTGGAATCTTGGGACTCCCACTCCAGTGGGATGCAGTGCATGGTTTGGGGAAGGCTGGCCTGGCGCTGTCCTCCCAGCTCCATCTCCTCACCCAGGTGTGGCAGAGGCGGGGGTGGGGCAAGGTCCTGTGCTGGCGACACCTCTGTCTGCCCTTCTGTTTCTCTCCCATCTTCCCCAGCTCAGTGCACGCCACAACCATCGGCCCAACTGCTCAGACTCAAAGACTAGGAGTCATCCTTGATCTTGCCACCTCCCTCCCAATGTCCACTTCTCCCCATCTCCTCCTGCACAGCCCTGAGTCCGAGCCACCACCATCTTTCCCTGGCTGCCCCGAGCCCCCTCCCAAGGGGTCTTTGCCTCCCTCTTGCTTCTCTTCAGTCTGTCTGCCACATAGCAGCCAGCAGGAGACCGTAGAGAAAGAACCCACCATTTTTTTAACTGGGCACACCGATATGCGACCTAAAGACTTCTTTTCCTAATTTTGCTTGTGGCAAAGATGTGACCATGTGACCCGTCCTACCCATGGGGAGGTAAGCCAAAGTGTAGTGAGGTCTTTGGAGAAGTCTTTGTAAAGGGAAGATGCACCCTTTTTCTCTCACTTCCTCCTTCCTGAAGCCTGTGATGGCTGGAACTCTAGCAGCCAACTTGGATCATGAAGACAAGGTCTACACCCTAGGGACAGTGGACAGGTGATCTAAAAACAGGTCCTTGACGACTTTTTTTTTTTTACATTGAAATTAAACTTATACCTCATTTAAATCACTATTTTCTAGGTCTCGGATATTCACAGTCAAACCTGATCCTAATGGACACAATAACTCTCCCTGTTTAAACTCTTTCAATAGCTTCCCATTATCCCTAAATTCCAAACTCCTTACCTTGGCCTCCAAAGCCCCTGCCTACTTCTCGGTCCTAACCTCCCACCCTTTCCCCTTTCCTGGGCCTCCAAGCACACAGCCTTTCCTTCTGTTCCCCAGGTAGCCAGGGTCACCTCACCTCAGGGTGCTCCACCGCCCAGATCATCCTTCCCCTGGCTCTTCCCCATCTCAAGTGTCACTGCCTCAGGGAAGCCCTCCTCCACGCCCCAGGCAGAGTCTGCCCCCACGCACACCAACCACTCCAGTCACAGCTGGTGCTGTGTGTGCCTGTTCCTCAGGGCAGGGATAATCTCCTGGCTTTTCACGGCACCCCCACCTCACAACGCTCTGTACATAGCTGTTGGTGCTCAGCAGCATTTGTGAGATGAATGGGTCCTTGGCATTTTACTGTCAGGCACAGCCTCGATTTCTCACTCCACCCTCTCTATCTCCCAACTCCTCTCATCTTGTCCATTTCAACAGCACTGTGTCTCGTTCAACCATGACAGCAGCTCTGCCCGGTAGCCATCCTGTTTAACAGATGGGGAGAGACTGAGGCTCAGAGGTGAGGTAACTTGCTCAAGGTCACACAGCTAGTAAATGGGAGAGCCTGGACCCAAGGTTAACCTCTACTGTGCTCCAGCCAACAGCCCTGGACTTGCATCTCAGACATTGGTGTCCAGCCCCGCCCCCTGATCAAAGGTAGGGGAGATGGGTAAGGAGGAAGGTAGGAAGGGTCAGGCATGGCGGGAGGAAGGGGCCTTGCCGATGCACCCTGGAGGACAGTGGCAGCTGTCTGGCTGGGCCAGCCCTGTGGGGGTCAAGCTTAACAAGCAATTAATAGAGCCAGAGGGGGGCCTTGCCCCTTTGTCTTCCTGCCTTTGGGGCCCTGGGGGATGCGGCTCACACTGGGCCTGATCTTCCTGTCCAGGTCCCCTCCTGGGCCGGTGGCGGGGTCGGGGGAGGCATTTTCCAGCACCTTGCCCTCTGCTACAGCCCCCATGGCGCTGCCACCTCTTGCTGGTCAGAGCACGCCCAGCTGTCCCGGCAGCATGAGGCGTGACAAAGCAGACACATGTACCGGGGCAGACCCACTATGTCTGACCTGTGCAGTGTTACTCAGTGGAGGATGCCGGGGCAGTGACCAGCTTCAAGGTGGCAGGGAACGGCCCATCCCCTCTGATCTGCTCCATCCTTTTCTGCTGGATGGCTGCCCCCTCTACCTATGTGGCTTCCATTCCCTCCTTTTGGGGCACCAGAACCTCTGCTTGCCTGAAGGAAAGCACTCTTTCCCCCGACTCAGTCTGAGCAGTTTGGGTGGGACTTCCTCTGTCCCATGGCTCCAGCGTGGACACAGGGTCTGGCCCTGGCCGGTCCATCCTGCTGGCCTTAGTGAACAGTCTGGGGTGGACAAAGAATCCAAATTTGTCAAATGAGACTAACCCTACCAGCTCCAGGACACCTGTATAAACTATTAGGAGAGAGAGACCCTCAAAGGAAGGGCCCACCTGAGTGTGGAGCCATCACTGAGGCAGAGCTGAGAGAGGGAGGCACACCGGGTCCCCATAACATGTCAAAACACCTGGGTCCAGCTGTGCCTGCGGCCACACATGCCTCTGGCTTTGCAGCTGCCTCGATCAATCCTCTGACGTGTTCTTAACCGAGGTCAAGACTTGGTTTATTTTTGCACGTGCACCCCGAAGAGTCCTGACAATACACTGCCTGGTGTGCCGAGGCCAATACCAGGCTCACCTCCTCCAGGCAGACCCAACCCGTTACTGCGGCCGACACAGTTCCTCTGGCATCGGACTCCCCTCCCCTCTTCCTGTCATGCCTGGGCACACGTCCGCGCCCATGTGCTGCACTATGTTTCCTGTGTCGGGGGGCACTAAGATGCCCTGTGGGCACTGGCCACGTATTGGACACTAGAGGCCATCTGGTGGGCTTCTGGAGACAGTCCTGCAAGGAGCTGAGGGAGGCTGTTCACTGACACCGTGCCTGGCAGGGCCCTGCACGGTTGGGCTGAGTGGGTGCAGGACATTCGTCACTGTGTGCCGCTGTCACACACCAGCATGCCTGGCCCCCAGCCACTAAGTGCCTGTAGTGCCCCAATTACTGCCACTGCCACAGACACCTCACAAATGTCTAACATGCCCCTGCGGGGCACCGTTTCCACTGAGGGTCAGTTAGGGAGCCATCTGCCAGCCGGGGCTAGGGAAGTGGGCCCCACTCTCTCGCACTGCCCCCAGCGGCAGAGAGCAAGGGAGGGGCGCTCCCTGCACATGACAGAGAACGTGACCGCTGCCCTTCCTCAGACGCACGGGCCTGGGTGGCTTGGGTCTGGCACTTACAAAGTACCCAGCATGCCCACCCCTCCCCGGCCGCCATTCTCTATGGGCTGGGGCTGCCCGTGCTGTAACGTCCAGTTCCCATGCCACCCCCCACCAAGACTCACTCCTTTCCCGACAGCACCCTTTGGTCACCCCTGCCTCGGGGCTCCAGTCCTGCTCCATGCGGCTTTCTAGGGGCTCCGGCCACAGGCTCAAGGCACCACCCAGAACTGGGGTCCTGGCTTGAGCAGGGCCTTAACGTCTCTGGGCTCAGCATCCTACCCTGAAAAATGGGGTGACAGTATCATCATTCTCTTCATAGAGCTGTCGTGTGAGCCAACAGAGCACTAGCACAGGGAGGACCTGAGGGGCGGGCCATGCTGCCGCCCCAGCTCCCCGGGGACCAGAAAGAGAAGAGGAGGCCAATCTGCCTGCCCTCGGGATGCCTAGGGGTGGGGGCGTGGGAAGGGGTGAGACATTTAAGGACATGCTGGGACCCTGCATTTCTGAATGTGAACCACGGGCAAGATGCCATTTTTTGTTGTTTTATTTATTTTTTTATACAGCAAGCTCATTAGTTATCTATTTTATACATATTAGTGTATACATGTCAATCCCAATCTCCCAGTTCATCCCACAACCACCACCAC